AAGATGAAGAAGAAGAAGAAGAAAGATGGAGAAGAAGAGAAGGAAAGAAGAAAGAGAAAGAAGAAGAAGAAAAAATGCAAGACGCACAAGGAACCACAAAATACCCATCAGTTCCTCGAAGAAAACGATGACCTGCCTTCACCTCCTCCGCCGGCTGTCACGCTGTCTCGACTCCTCTTCAGGATCTTCTCCGGTGTCCCTTTTCTAAGCCGGATGCTGTAGCGGGATGCGGGATGGGGGGAAGGAGATGGAGGTGGCGAAGGGAGGGATAAAGGGAGGAATGGGAGAGAGTAGAGGAGGAGAGGGATAAAGGGAGGGAATGGCGAGGGAGGGTGAAGGAGAAAGAGAGGGAAGGGGAGGGAGGGATGGGGAGGGAATAAGGAGGAAGGAGGGAAGGAGAGAAGGAGGGAAGGAGGGATGGAGGGAGGGGATGGGAGAGAAGGAAGGAAGGAGGGAAGGAGAAGAGAGAGAGAGAGAGAGAGAGAGAGAGATGAGAGAGAGAGAAGAGAAGAGAGAAGAGAGAGAGAGAGAGAGAGAGAGAGAGAGAAAGAGAGAAAGATAAATAAATAGATAGAGAGTATGAGAAAGAAAGAAAGAATGAGAGAGAGAGGCGAGAGAGAGAGAGATAGAGCATGAGAGAGTGAGTGAAAGAGAGAGGGAGATAGACAGAGAGACAGGCCAACAGAGAACTATACAAGAGATCCATAATTAAGTGTAAAAAATGTGACCTAGAATAAAAGAAAAAAAATAGCAATTTGGAGAAATTCTTTTCCACTGAAAACAAAAGGCAGTTTTTTTTTGTTTCTGTTTTTATAGTCAGATTCATTTTATTACTATTGTTATTTGGATTTCTGTTTCACTCACGAAATGCCTTTTGAAATTTCTTTGTCTCACGCAGATAATTTCTTTCTTTTTTCTTTGTTTTTTTCTTGTTTATCTTTTTTGTTATATGTTTCATTTATCCGTTTTTTTCAGTTTCAAATATTCACTGACCTTAAATAACTCATTTTCATGATTTTTTTTTATGAGTATCACTATCTGTTTTCCTTAAGTTTTTCAGAGTATCACTATCTGTTTTCCTTTAATTTTCGAAAATATGATGACAACGCTAGTGATATGAGTAATTATCATAAACAAATCAATTATGAAAAGTATGATATAAAATGACTATAAATACCGAGATATTTATGCAAGAGGAACACAGCGTATGCGAAATAAAACCCAAGAGCAATTTGAAATCTATTTTATCAATATCTGATATAATTCATTTTGCCAAAAATAAAATATTTAGGGCGTCTTTAAAACAGGTGGAGGTAGGTAGGCTGTCTTCAAACAACAGAACATTCAAGAATC